TGATAGCAATAGAAAATTTACAATCTTCTTTGAGCTTCATTCTCTACAAAATGTTTGAACTAGTCATAGCAATGGCTAGGATTAAAAGACTGTTCCAAAATTGCTACCCTGATCTGACATGGACCAGAAGCCTCATGGGAAGAACCTAATATGTTTAGAAAACACTGTGATGCTAAAGCAATTCATGCTTTGTAATCGGTCTCCACTCTCACTGCACTTGGTAAGATTCATTCTATCTCTCACCTGTAAGATCATAACGCATTCCTGTTTTCTAGGAGTCTAAGAATTTACCCATTGGTGCAAATATTCCCAATGTTACCTTAGTTCCCCCGGTCTCACGATCGAGAATTCATAAGAACTCCAAATAGTTTAGGGGGTAAATTTGAAATAACTTTATAGCATATTATGGCATCTGAATCAATGACTCTTACTGCCAATTTGATTTATATTTTACTAGACCTATACTTGGTGGTTCAGGGCTTGAAGTTAGGGCTTTTGTACTTGCTAGGCAAGCCCTCTACCATGTGAGGCACACACCTAGGTCATTTTTGCATTTATCATTTTTGAGATAGAATCTCACATTATACCTAGGATGGACTGGGTTGCAGCCCACCTGCCGTGTTTCCCCTGTAGCTGGGAATGACCGCCATGTACCCCTGACCACAGCTTTGTTTGAGATGGAGTCCCATGAACTTCTTTTTGCCGGAGGTGGTCACTGTGATCTGCCAATCTCTGGTTCTTAAATCACTCAGATAAAGCCAGTAAACTCAGCCTTTTTTAAAGAAAATCATTATTTATTTATTCATGGGCATGTCTTCACAAGGGATGTGATGTGTTTTTGATACTCAGAGTTAGGATTTAGTGCCTGAATTCTTGTGCTTTTTTTTGTTCTGCACAAGAGAATTCACACAACTAGGACTCAAGTAAAAACTAAGCAAAGGAGGGGCTGGGGGTTTAGCCCAGTGGAAAGGCGCCTGCCCGGTGCGCGCAAGGCCCTGGGTTCGGTCCTCAGCCCTGGAAAAAAAAAAAAACTAAGCAAAACATTATACACTTTAGCATATAGGAAATAAATCTACCTGATTATCAGATAGCAATGTGAGATATCCTATTTCCACGTGTAATTTAGATTTTGAAACCAGACTGTGTCATTTTAGACAAAAGCGTTTGCATTCTCCATCTCGCTGGAGGCTGGAGAGGAGAAGCTGATTCTGTTTTCTATTAGATGAGGTATCCTGATCACAGCCATAAACCAAAACCTAAATGAGCCACTGTTCTTTTGGCCATCATGTTTCTACAGAAGCATATTTATTGTCTTTTGTCATTCATTGACTTTTCTGCAAAAGCCTCTGATAACTAAGGAGAGCTATATGAAAAAAAAAAAAAAAAAAAAAAAAAACCCTTAGAAGTTTCTTCTCCCTACACAAAACATCAGAATGTGCCTTCCAGAACTTTCCTGCAATCATGAAGAACTATCACATAGGACTTGCTTCCCAGGAACACTACATGTACCACAAACAGACCATACTGACTTAAGAACCCTGAGGCACCACTGAGTCTTTGCCTCCGTCTTATTTTTCACTGCTATAATTCTGTGGATAATAAAGTTTAAAAGACACAAGCAAAATATTAGACAATGGACTCCCTTGTTATTCAATGCCTATTCCAAATTAATATGTAAATAACTACTTTTTTCCTTGATACATTGGAGTGAGAGAAATCATTTCCCCCATTAGGAGTCAATACATCTACCCATCATTAGTATCAGCTTTGTCCAGGACCACGTTCCCTGACATGGCTTGTCTTCCACTGTTCTTTATAGGAAGATGGATTCACCCGGTTTTTTATGCTCTTGTGTTTTCTCTCTTGTAAACACAAGTCACTAGAGCACACGACAATTTATCTCAAGCCAAATAATATTCCCCAGGTTCCTATTGCTGTTGCCAAGCAAAGAAAATAATGGTGTTTTAGGGTTAAGTGAGAAAACAGGAGGATAACATACAATATGAAATACTTGTTTCAGCTCTTCACGGCTGCCAGTCAGCCTGTGTTTATTTTCCGAGTTCATCACTTACATTAAGTGAAATAAATGATCTCTAACAGTGAGACCAAGTAACACTTTCTCCATTCTTATATAGACGATACCTTGACATATTACAGATTTTACTAAGTAAACATTGCAAATGGTTTTTTAATAAATAACCCAGGAAGATTGTTGAAATTCTGTTTATTAATCAGCTTTTATTCAAGGCTATTACAGGACTCAGGACTTTTTTCCTATAAATAACCATCCTTCATTTAAAACAATTTAGCTTCTGTATCTGTTAAAGTTTTATGTTCTAGAAGTATACAGGCTTGAGAATCTTGAGTTTTTGAGTATGTAACATCTACGCTGTTTATTTTTATCAGTATTCACCAAATTCACAATAGACAACTTTCTCACTCTCTCTTTCTAAGAAAATTTCAGTTAAGTTTTGGCCCTGCTTGATGTTGGCTATAGATGTTTCCTAGTGTGGGATTCTTTTTTTTTTTTTTTTTTGGGTCCGGTCGTGGGGCCTGAACTCTGGGCTTGGGCACTGTCCCTCAGCTCTTCAGCTCAAGGCTAGCGCTCTACCACTTGAGCCACAGCACCATTTCCGTTTTTTTGCTTATGTGGTGCTGAGGAATTGAACCCAGGGCCTCAGGCATGCAAGCCAAGCACTCTACCACTGAGCCAACTTCCCAGCCTTAGTGTGGGATTCTTTAGGCCAGAAGTTTCCAAATACTCTTACATATTCTACTCACCTAGTGAACTTTTCAAAGCCTTGATGCTGGACTGGAGGTATAAGGCACAATGGAATATTTGTATGGTGTACACAAGGCCTAACACCACAAAACAAGCAAATAATTACAAAAGAGCAGATGCCTTGGTTGTATTCCATACAACTAAACTTGAATGTGACAGTCAGGCATTTCTAGATGATGCATCCTGAGCTGCTTTCAATATACAACAGAGGACTGACTCAGAATTATGAATCTTCCTGTTTATTTTACTATATATTTTTTCTTTTTTGTATCCTTTACCTTTTGGTAAAACAAATTACCATCTAGAGAATATGTAATGAAAAACAAAGGCTGGGAATAGTAGAGTGCTTGAGTAGTATATGTAATGTCCTGGTTTCAATCCCCAGAACCAAACTAAAGATGAAAATTTTGTACTAGTAATAATCACATGTATGTAAATCAAAACATCAAATAATATCTTAAATCATGCTAACTAATGAAATAATTTTAAAAATTGAACATTCCATTTATCATTAAAAAGAAAAAATAGGCTATTTATGAAGATCAGGAATAAGAATGGCTTTGAACTTTTTGATGGCTATAATAGAAAATTGACAATAACAGAAGATGTTGAAACAATCCGAAGATTAAACAACTTCCAACCTAAAAAATTCTACTAAATTGAAGTATGCATTAAGTGTGAAAAAATGAGAAGCACATTTGTGGACAGTGAAACTCTCAAAGCTGCACACCCTCATTAGTCTTCAAAAAGTTAATGAAAGATACATTCAATTAACATGAAGAAATAAACCAACAAAGATGTAAGAATGGGGACAGGGAAATAGGATCCCATGAAATAAAGTGATGATAGTCATTCCATTGTGATAGGAAGGGATGGGTGTCAAATTTAGATGACCGCTTTATTCTAGAGAAAATATTCTGGATAGTAACTCCTAAAGAAAATAAAATTAACAGAAGGTCTGATGAATCTGAATACATTGAAACATAATTTAGACATTTTCAGAAACTTGTGGATAAACCAATGACATGCAAAGAGAAAGTTGAAATGCACACAAAAGAGTGATCAATCTCAGGAAAATGCTCTGCAGAAAAGGAAATACAATCCTGGTATAATTTTTGGCTTATGTACATTGTTGCAATATATAGGAAGTAAACACTGCCCTAATAATATGGAGGCTTTAACAATATTTTGGTAATGGATGAAGAGAAAATAGATTTACGGGGTAAATGAAAGGGATAATATATGAAGAAAAGACTAAACCCCTGTCTTCTTGGTGGACATCTGAACAAATGCCTAAAACAGACACATTTGAAATGAACAAACATGTCATTTAGAGAAAGTGATAGAAATACCCAAATAACCTCTTCAATTTATTAAAAATGATTTTTTATCTTTAAAAAAAGAAGAAGAAAGGTGGAAGGGTAATCTAGGGCAAGGGGCTACTATACTCTTTTGTAGCCATCTTAACAAAAAGTAAATTTGAGCCAGACACTGTAATCCTCGCTACTCAAGAGGCTGAGAACTGAGGTTTACAGTTGAAAGCCTGCCCCGGTAGGAAAGTCAAAACTGGAAGTGGAGCTGTGGCAGAAAGTAGTGAAGCACTAAACTTAAGCAGAAGAGCTCAGGCACTAAAGCACCGAGTTCAAACCCCACTATTGGCAAAAAAAAAAAAAGTAAATAAAGTTGTTCTTGTAAAAAATATGTTCAGATAAAAAACACAAACTTATAAATCAGTTTATGTGGATGGCCTTATCTGACAACCTAGAGTTTAAATCAGAGCCATTTTAGCCGATGGTACACAATCTGACACTGTAGTTATTTATATAGATCTCAAATGAATCTCTGAGATGGAAATCAGATGATCCAATGCTTTGACTGCTCTGTGAAGATTAGGGGAAAAGCACAGTTCTTAGAAACAGACATGACCATGGCTTCTTCCTGCAACCTTCCATGTCCTCTCTGAACTCTGACATCCCAGAGTGCAAATGATAGAACATTTCCCACTGGCAGAGTTATTATGAAATAAATGATATTAATGGAGCAAGCAACCCAGAACTTGACAAAAAGAAGTGCTCAGTAATTTATTGATCCCAGAAACTCCTGCTCAGTTGTTGTGCACTGGTTTTAGACATTTGGTTTAAAAAATGAATAAATGAGCCTTGTAACTTCATTTGGAAATATTTGAGATAAGTAGCCCTGATGTTTCCATCTCTCGCAGGTCCTCCAGTTAACGTCACATGCAACATCTTCATAAACAGCTTCGGCTCCATCGCAGAGGCTACCATGGTAAGTAAGCACACTGTAACAAGGTTCCGCGTAATTCACTCCGAATCATATTAGTTGGAAATTTCCTGTGTAACAAGGTTCCACGGGATTCACTCTGAATCTCAGTAGTAGGAAATTTCCTGTTAATGTTATGCACACTTCCACTTAACCACAATGAGACTGTTCAAAAGATCATATCAGCGGAAAAAAATAACTGCAATCAGCTGTAGTTAACAATGTTTAGAAAAAGTGTATTAGAAGATACCTGTGTAAGCAGTAGTGGGTTCCTTTCATTCTCCAATTAAATAATCTATTATGATGAATCAAATTCAACTGAAATTTTACCATTTCGCTATTTATTCATTTCTAGAGATCTCTATTAGCCAGATATATGCATAACCGTACATATTGTCATATTCAGTTACCCTGTATACACGAATTTCCACCATTATTTTGAGTGTCCCATTGTATAATTTTTTTCAAGTTGACTATCATAGTTGTTTGAACACAAAATCTTATACAAATCCACATACAAATTTGCGAATACTATAAAGCATGCCTTTATTAAATATTACTATGTAATTAGATCACTGAAAATCAATACATTAAAAGCAAAATTATCATAGAACTTATCATCACAGTTCAAATTTTATACTCTTGTTTTGCTCTGTCACTTCTACTGCGGAACTTAGCTAAATAAAAGGAAGAAATACATAGTTGAAGTAGTGAATATCTGTAAAATTGTCCTACAGTTAATTTTTTTTTGGTTGATTGTGGGGCTTGAACTCTGGGCCTGGGCACTGTCCCTGAATTCTTCAGCTCAAGGCGAGTGCTCTACCACTTGAGCCACAGCTCCACTTCCCTACAGCTAACTTTTTTGGAAAAGTATGCATCACAGTTCTTAAATTACCTAGAATTACCTAGAATTACAAATTTAGCACAAGTAATTTGCATTAATTTCCCAAGTGGGTTTTTACTTAAATAGGATATAAAATACTTAAAGAGTTCATAGTTTCCTAAACCATTATGATATAATTATAAGCATTTTTGCATATTTTAGAATCACTTGATAATGAATTTCCTAAGGAAAATTAACTTAATATGCAAATAACTATAGCTATGTGCTTGGGGAGGTGTAGACTTGTATATGTAGGAAAGAATATGAATATCAACAAGGAAAGATAGACTTCCTGTTATCATTTACTTCAAAATGCCATTTCCCTTGTGCATGCAACATTTAGTCATGTAGCAAGAGCTCTATAATTCTATTCAGCTCCAAATAATTATAATAGAAGTATTCAAGGGGAAGATCTGAACTCATATTCTGTGTACATTGTAGAGAATTTCCTTAAATACAGTAGGACTCAATGGAAACATGTATACGAGAATACACATAGAAAATGACTATGATTTATATAATTACAGTGCCATTCTGGTGGAATTCAAGTGGTGTGTGTGTGTGTGTGTGTGTGTGTGTGTGTGTGTTTGTACTAGACTTGTGGCTTGAAATAAGGGCTTTGACACTGTACCTGAAGTTTTTGTTGTTGTTGTTGTTCAAGGCTAGGGCTCTATCACTTGAATCACAGCTTCAATTCTGGCTTTTTGGTGGTTAATTAGAGATAAGAGTTGCATGTACTTTTTTGCCAGTTCTAGCTTTCAACCACAATCCTCATATCTCAGCCTCCTGAGTAGCTTGATAGGTGGGCATCACTGATACCCAGAATGATTTCATTTTTTAAACTTAAACCAACCCTGTTTAGCCTTTGGCATATTCAGGATACTGGCTGAATAGCTGGTTCTGCTTTGTATACCACATTTGTACATACTCAGCCCAAATTATGCAAAGACAGAATCACTGCTAGCTTTTTTCTACTTAGATTCCCAAATTGTATTTCCATATCTGACCAGCTTTCCATTTAAATCATTTGTGCTCATTCTATCTAATCTTAAAATCCTGGAACTTCATTTCTCTAAATTTCTATTTTGCAAAATAGTGTCCACCAAATAATTTCAGCAGCAAGATTCGGAGTGGTTGATGGGCTGTACCCATCTTTGTAGACTAAGGGGAAATAACAAAATAGGGGGCTCCTGAGACTCAGGTTCTTAAAGGTTTCTTCTCATTATAAGGAAATTCATCAGTCTCCCAACCAAAAATCACACACTACAATAAACCTGCACCAGATGAATTTAATAGTAGAAGACTTCCTTTACAGGATATATTCTACAAAATATTTTCCAAATATGCAAGCATATTAACAAGACCCTACTATATTTCAGCTTTCCCAATCTTTCCTACATGTCTTATTACCAAGTACTACCCCTCTGAAATTCTATTAGCATCTATCACTCTTCTTAGTCATGAGCAGCTTTCATGATTTTTATTCATTTTTATTATTTTTAATTATTTTTGTATTAATGTTTGTTAATAATATACCCAACAGATTAGCAACACACAGTTAACTATGTCCATCCTGGTATTTTTCTATGTATCTTTTTATACTCCTCAATGTGGGATAATGTTAGTTTATTTTTGTTGTTGCAATGGGCAAATACATGTAGATATGACTTTCAATTATTGAATAATTAGATTATGCAAGAAAGTCTAAATCAATAAAAAAAGTGATAACACCTGCACACCCAAGCTACTGAAATCTTTAACCTTTTAATACATTTTAAAGTATTTTATCAAAATCTTAGGCATATAAACATGAATAGATCATTTATGCAGCACTGTTGTACCTACCACCAGCTTTATATATGACAAGTAAATTGTAAACTGTTTGCTCCAGTACCAATATATGGCTTTCCTACATCAAAAAAACCACTACAGATATTGCCATGAGCCTTATTCCACATTCATGAAAGCATAAATTTATTTATGTATAGTTTTGGTTTGCTTTAAGTTTATGTATTTTGTGATAGTCCATGTTTATATGTACACAATTTTATTAATTTTCATTGAAATTGTAATTTATTAATATATTTACCCATTCTATTTTTGTTGAATACTTATTTTTTAATGTTTTCATTACTATAGAACAATTGAACTGAAAATAATTACATACTATTTTCTGATCTTTACATAAAAGAGGGAGCAAGACTCTGCCCACAAGTAGAATAACTTGGTTAATAATACTACATTAATTATTTTGTTGTTTAAATTCTTCCACTTTTGTCCACTGAGCATTTGTTCAGTTCACAGCAACATTTCTTTGGTATATTCCCACCAGTTCATTTATTGAGCATTTCCTTGTGCTCTAGTTACCTCTAAGATATTCTAGACCCATCTTGGATAGTTCAATTCGCTGCTGCAGAGATGTCATTGCTTCTAAGCCTTCTTGCATTGAGTTTGAAAATGTGTGTTTGTGTTTGTGTGTGCATGTTTTAAATTCTATTTTCTAATTGTTTCTTATTGACATAAGGATGGACATTTGTGAATAAAGGTCACATAAGTTCTTATAGTAATATTTTCTCAAAAAGGCATTTGTTCATTCAAGCTGTGTTGCTAGTTACATAGTTCTTTACAGAAAAATTCATGTCTATATTTATATAATAGTGATATTATATTATATTATAGTGATCCAAGAATGATTTAAAAAATCAAAATGTAAAGATATAGTTATTACAGGAATTGAGTATGGTTTGAAAGAACTTTTGTTCATGACAGTTGGAGGAAATGTGCATAAAGAAAGTCCTTTTTTTCTATCCTTTTTCCCAGAGTGAGTCCTTAGATCTTGGTATCCACTTAAACTTCTGTAAAGGTAATTTTTATGATTACCACAATAGTATTCGATGTGTATCTCATATTTATGGATTCATTAATTTACTCTTCGTCTTTTGGGAATAACCTCAATGTATCCTGCAAGCCTTTTAATATTAACGGTATATCTGTTAATACCTTTCCCTCCCTGTCTTATTTCCCTTAGAGTCGTAAAACCAAATGAAATATAGCCATAGCTTTGGTATGAAAGATTTTTCAATCTCACACATGAGTAGCCATTGACTGACAGTGTGAATGTGCTCTGAACAATCATTTAGAAGCACTAGTCCGAAATGGCTTATTTGTGGGATTGTTGCTGAACCAAAGAGGGTATGGATGATGCTCACCTTAGTGACCCCATCAGGAATATTAACAAAGCTCTGCTTACAGTATTTATTCACCAGCTCATGCTTATAAACACTATGTTTCAAAAGGAAACTGTTGGAAGATCCCATTCCCAAAGGTAAAATTTCCTGCAGAGAATATCACAAAGAACACTAGTGTTGCTTTGCTGTTAAACAAACAGTGGTGAAAAACAGATTTGCAATTCAGATGCTAATTACCAAAGAAAGAAAAATAGATAGAGAGGCTAGGCTTTCTTAAATATATACCTCTGTAGCTCTGCTCTTTTACTAGACAATCTATATTTGTAGAGTTTCTTTGGGATAACTATGTTTAAAAGTAATTCATTGTATATAGACATTTGAAATATTTGTGTAGAGGAAAAAATGAAGATGTTAGAGTTAAATATGATAATAAACATAAATAAACAAACCTTCAAGTTCATTTATAATGGAAAGTAAGTATTACCTGTACATGGATATCTTTAAAAGAATACTGTGAATAGAATTCTTTGCTACAAGACCAGTTAAACACATATATTGACTACTTAATACAATATAGAAATGACAGGTGCTTGTTATGACAGGTCATAGCAACTTCATTTTCATGGTATTTATAAGCAAGCTTTTTTTCCTCTCAGATAATTTGATTTCTTGAAAGATTACACTTCACAATGTCATTTCAACCTCAAAAGATAAAATAAGAAGCAAGATTGTAAATTGGATTCTCTAAAATGATTGACAGTAGTCATAATTTGTTACTTTTTTATGGACTTAGCATGTCAATTATTATTAAGTAATGTGGCAAGCGATTTAAGTTGCAAATAGCTCTTCACCTGCCATGCTGATCTGACAGAAACATGATAAAATTAACACTGAAGTTTTCTAGACCATTTTGGTGGCACTTCTCAGTTGCTATA